AGAAGCAGCACAGCTCAAACCACATCAACAGCTGAAAATTATAAAAACAGACCACCAATGCCTCCTGTCACCTGATGACTTCACACAAACTGCTCACTTAGATTTTATTTCACCCCCTTTGTTTTGAGGGTGACATTTCTATGTAAAACAACATTATTTGGTAATTTACTATACTGTATATTAAAAAAGAGTAGCTTCAGAAACAGAGAAAGCCATGTCTTTGTAGAATATGATAACCAGAATAACTAAGACATGAGGGCATCCAGAAATGAATGGATAAGCTCCTGTAGTTGATGCGTTGAGAAGTCAAATGCTGAACAGGATGTGGTGAAAGATGTATGCTGGCAGTGGTGCTGTTTTTGTTGTTGGCTGTAGCAGAGTGTTAGAAGGAGTAAAGATCATACCAATTTACTTTCAACCCTTAATATAATTATTTACTAAACCTGCTAAGTGCAAACTGCCAGCTGTGACATTCAGATTTTGTAATCTTCTAGTTAAAAAATTTCAAACAAATATGTGAAAAAAGTCAGAACACATTGACAAGAAAAGTACATAAAAGAGAAAATGCCCACTTCCTCTACCAACCTGCTCTTGAGATGAGTCCTCTATCCTCCAGCCTTCGTCACCACTGATAATATTTTCTGTTTGCTGGAGGAATATAATGATTAACTTGCAGCATTCAAAAGCTAGAAACTCAGCCTCTTTAGAGGAAGCTGAGGTGTGGCTCTATGAAAGATAGTTAGATATGATTTTACTGCGTTACTTACCCTGTCTGTCAGTGTACACCTTCTTGAATTCCTCCTGAGTAGTCCTTCCTCCTTTCTGCAATGCTTATTTTCAAGGTTTTTGTTTTGCTTGTTTATGTGTTTGTCAACACTCTACAAGTACAACCGGGCATGATCAGGTGTTTACAGTGTGTGTGCAATGATGGGAAAAGAGGAACATGGTGTAAAATGAAAACAGGGGGGTTGCACAATTAGGGTTCACACACCCATATGTCAAGATCAGTGAAGCTACTGTAGACAGGAAAAAGACTAAAATGTAGTAATATGTTATTTGCTAATCACACAAATATAGATGTTTTTCAAGAGAGAACAAATGTATGGTGGTGTGTTAGAAGTTTGGGAGGATGAAGGTGAAAAGAGAGTTTACATTATTATGTGGAGCAAATTAACAAATATTGTGATAATGAATACATAATAAATAAATATATGTAGGCAAAGATACCTAATGTGACTGTGTGCATCATGTGTTTGTCACCTGATTAGTTTCTGTTGCTCTCTGTGCTCTTTTACTAACCCAGACTTTCATACATTGAAACTGACAAATCATGTTTCACTCAGACTCTGAGTTCCCAGCAGCAGAAAGCTACGTTTTGATGTATGTAGAGGTAACAAAATCTGAAACGTGTTTTTAAAGTTGTATTTTATTTAACATATAGTATAACCTACGTGCATGTGCCAGGATATCACACTGTGGTATTAATAGGCTGCTACCATCAGCGTCAGCTTTGTTAAGAAATGAATAACCACTTGTAGGAAGGAAGGAAGTGGCAACCTAAATTATTTTCACTCTTTTGAAATGTATAATGCTGATGTTATACTTTTTATTCCACTGCATTCATCACAAATATTTATATTTGTATTATCTCTATTTTCTGAGTCAGACATGATTTTGTCTGTACTAGTTCTAATATTTATGTGTCTATTCTATAGTAACTGAATTTGACGACAGTTTGAACCTGGTCGTCATCTGGTTGCTATAACACACCTCTGCTGCATATAACTGAAACATGCAGTCAGACTTTAATTCTTCTTTCTTTCCATAACAGCTGAACCTCACATCTATTGGATACCTGAACAATCATGGAAGCTGTAACCAGCTAATTCTACATTTTCTATCAAAATGTAGAATTGCATCCTAAACTGCAGCTTAATCATGTTAGATTGTTATGTAGTACACTACAAGACCACATGAGGGCAGTCCGCTGCAGAAAAACTGAAAAGTGGGTTTTCAGCCAGTGGTTTGCTTCCTCCTGGTGGTCTGTGAAGGCATTGCAGATGGTCCCTGACCACCTTGGAATCACAGTTTATTTTGTTTTATTTTCAAACATATTTCCATGTATTAATTATAATTAAGTGTCCCAATCCCAGCACCCAGGAGATCACACACATCTCAGATGACCTGGGCCTGGACAGACATGTAAGTTGGTTACAACCTCTCCAGCTGAAGTGAGTTGCCTTTAAAGTGCTTATTTTTGAATAACAAATGCTCTACTTGACAGGTGATGCGGATTTGGATGAGAAACCGGATGGATGAGGAGTGTGATGGCCAGTACTATGAGCGAGTCCTTCCCCACTGAACGTGGCCCCCTCCCCCATTGCCAGTCAGGCCTACCCAACTTCCAGCTACGCTGGAGTCCCTCCTCCCACACTGTACATGTCCCCACATCATCGACCTGACGCCCTGAAACAAGGCCTGCATCCTGGACTGGTGAGTCACTTGACAGGATGAACAGGCTCACGTTGTCCAGGCCAGAACCACAGACGACCCTCTAAATCAGATCACCCGATCGACCAGTCGTCAGTTGGTCACAGAACAGACTTTGTAGTTCTAGTTGTAGTTCTAGTTTAGTAGTAGCAAAGTTCTTTTTTGTTTTGTGCATCTGTAGTGCTCCACCAGGCCAGTGTTATGAGGCTAGGATGAGAAACTGACGTAATAGCTTCTTTGGCCTAAAGAAGAAGGCATGTTACTTTTGTTGTGTGGATGCTGTGAAGCTTGATGTAAGCCAGGGGGTAAGCTTGATAAATGCATTCAGTAGGGAACATACAGTATCTATTCTACTTCTACTGTTTACTCAGTACACGTACAAGATGTATAATAATTTCACTATGGGTCTCTGGGTGTATACTGCCCCTTAGTAAACATATTGCCAATAATTTTTGCTATAATTCCTCCCTGATTACATGTATTTGTACATGTACATAGCACACAGTATAAATATAATATAAATGTAACGCATACTAATATGTACGTGGAGCACTTGTTATATACAGCATGTTGGCTTTAGCAAAGCAAAGTTAATCAGCATGATAACATAAAACATCCATAAAAATGTGCATAAAGAAGACAGACACCATGTCTCTCTGGATATCAATTCAGGACCATGTCACTTCTTGAGACACCCAAACATACACAGGCAAAACTACAGAATGAGGTCTCCTGAGACACACACACACACACACACACACACACACACACACACACACACACACACACACACACACACAGTGTGGTCTCCCCGTATATGTAAATTATTTATTCTCTTACAACTTTGGGCCATGTCTTTGGGATTACGCCTTCCACTGTTTTAGGAATGATGAGTCTCCAGAGGCATGGGATACAGTCGCAGCCACAGATGGTGAGAAGGGCTGCCGCCACTGTGAGGGACACAAGGCAGGACATAATGGGACCGCTCCATTTACCAAACTATTTCTTTAACATCTGGGTGAAATGATTATCAGTCCCCGCTGTGAAGGCCTCAGTCCTGGCCTTCACCATGTGAGGACCTAAACCACCACCAGCCATGTACTTGGGTGGGTAATTCATATTAGACATACACAATTGATCAATGAGCATGCACGTTTGATTAATTTTGTATTGTTAATGTTTACCTTTTCTTTTGAGTTACCAT